ATTTTGAATAATAGCCATGTACATGTCACATTATGTATTCTATTTAGATTGGAAGAAAAAATTCAAATTGGTAAATCTGTTTTATATTTCACAGTCCGAAGTCTATTTGCCTTCAGCTGGTCTGCATTTTAATTTTGGACACCTTTCCACAATTTTAATAATTATCCAGAATGATTTACTTTGGCTAGAACATCGGTTCAGACTATGTCAGTATATAAACCTTCTTATATAAGAAGATACGATTGTGTTCACGTCATTTGTCTGTTTCTGGGAAGGTCCCATATACAAAACTGATACCTAACTGGATTCTATTTGGAGTTCAGATAACACCATTATTTTTATGAACATAAGTAGTTATTAAAAATATAAGAATAATTTAATAGATATTTAGAAACGAATATATGAACACGGCTGCACGTTGATCAATGATGGGAATGGTTTCCTTTAAAATAGCGGTGCGACGGCATAACCGCTTTTCCCCAGATACCACAAATTAATCTCGCCGCGCCAAGCTCCAACAGACACTATGGGCAGTATGCTATTAATGTCCATCGAACAAGACTGTTACCGAAAGAACTACGCCAAAGTATGCTATTTAGTCCCTTCATAATAATCTTGTGTAAAGTCATTTCAGTTTTCTTTTTATAACATACGTTAAATCTTTTGTTGTTAAAGGATAATATTGGTGCCAGTCATTATCACATAGGTAATAGAACTGGTTAAACACATTCCAAATATTATTTTATCACAGATATCATTGCTACGATAGAGGTGTAATCAATGCTTTGACGATCGGAAATGACGAACGCAAAAGGAAAACACGAGTTATCCCTCTATATAACTGATTGAAGTGACGGGTGATAACAGGTATATGGGCGAATTTCTGCCCACTCATAATTCCTTCGAAGACCAAAAGTTGTTATATGAGACTGTAAGAGTGTATCTGACAATTCAAAAAAGTAATTCACGCGTGTTTATTCATTCTATCCTTATAAAAACATGGTAATGCACGGATTTTTTCTTTTTTTCTTTCATGTTCTCTTATCTAGTAACAGTCAATTTTTTTATGAATTGTCAGATATCCTTTCACAGTCTCACACAACAACTTTTGGTCTTCGAAGGAATTATTAGTGGGCAGAAATTCGCCCATGTACCTGTTATCACCCGTCACTTCAATCAGTTATATAGAGGGATAACTCGTGTTTTCCTTTTGCGTTCGTCACTTCCGATTGTTGAAACATTGATTCCACAGCTATCGTAGCAATGATATCTGTGATAAAATAAAATTTGGAATGTGTTTAACCAGTTCTAACACATATATGATAATGACTGGCACCAATATTGTCCTTTAAGCAGTCATAATTAACTCTAAGTAAAGATGTAGCACTATAAAAGACAATAATAAAAATAATCGGTATACAGTTGAGGTCCCAACCTGCCAGCCCACCCCACCCCCACCTGTCAGCATCAGTATACAGTCCAGATCCCAAAGTTGAGTTATTTTGCTGGTTGCTGCTGAGAAACTAAATCAATCTCAATTATAGAGATATGGGATGTCAGGGATCCCGTTAGGATTCTGGTATAAATTGTACATGTTTTAATATTGATTTGTATATTTAGTTAATTGGTTGTGTAAATCAGGTGAATTTATAAATAATCTATCACTTTAAAAAGGTACATAGGTGACCTTAATTGTTTGCGATATCAGAGAAAGTAGGATTGTAACAACAGGAAATGTGTCCTACGGAAACACAGTGCAAACATACAATAAATCAAAATATTTTACAGAATAGAGGCATTGAAGTCCCAGAAACATTTCTGTTGGGTCACACAAGATTTAGTTTAAATGCTTGGTAAAACTATACATGCGACTGTAAATGTCTGGAACATATAATATCACTTATCGTTTCTAGGCATCTGCAAGAAATCAATTTAATGCGACAAAATTATACAAACCAATTTCTGTCAAGATCAAAGTATGTATCACACCTTGGAAATTATATCTTGTTGAGATATAACTGTATGTGCCTGAACTAAGCAGAGATCTCATCTTCAACTTTATATCTTGTTGAGATAAGGTAATTATCTCTGCCTGAGTGAAGTATCACATATTAAACGTTGTATCTTATTGAGATTAAATAATTATCTTTTTTTTAACATTCATCATAACACTCAAAAATCCAACTGATTATACTTGAGTTCTGTAAACAGTGTCGGTGAAAACAAATGGAATGACAGTTCTACATAAGATACATTGGGTAAGAGGCGGGAGGAGTGTAAGAATCTGTAGTTGCATAGCACTAAGATCGCATAAAATAGCAATTTGATCACCTAATTACAATTGATGCAATAGTTAGTCAGACGTAGCCCTCGTTCATTCTGCGACTGATGAATTAAGGAACAACCTTCTTGATCTTAAATTATATGTGATCCCCACGGTCAGATCTATTTAAGTGCCGATTGATAAACGCTCTTCGTCTAAGATCTGTTTACAAGTCACTCTGTCACTTGTTCAATTTTCGTAATTAATGATGGGCGAGGTGAAAGAATGCTTTGTAAAATATTTATAGAAAAGCAATATATGAAAGTGGGTTTTAATATGAGGTATTACAACACATGTTGATATATTAATATCCACGATCTGTATTGTATTAAAGAGTGGTGATGTAGCGCATAAAAGTAAAATAAAGGACCAGATTTTATCATATTTAAACTGAAAGAAACAGAAATCAAAGTGTATATAGAATAAATGGAAGTGATATATCCTAGGAATAATATCCATTAATGAAAACAGCAAGATTTACCAGGCATTATATTAAAAATAAAGAGACCCAATCGACTTTACTCGCCCACCGATTAAGGCGATTACATGGGGGCTTGGCGTAAAAATATAAATGCCTACAAGTCATTTAGTCCGTATGTCAGTTTTTAGCCATCCCCGATCTGTCAGGGTAAACTGAATATTAAAAAAATAGACTTTGGTCGTGAGTTCGTTGTTAAGAGGGGCAAAAATGATGGCATTATCATTAGAGAGAGAGGGTTTGACGTCCGCTCAACACAACTAGGTCATTTCGGGACTAAAGCATGGTTCAATTTTATTTCAATAATTCGCTTGCACGTAGGGGTCTTTAGCAGTGGGAGGAAACCGAAGGACCGGAGAAAATCCGCGAGGTTGGACAGGCGACCCTACTCCTTGTCACGTTCAACCGGGTAACCGAAACCAAGCAAGTTGACTCAATGACAGACCTTATGATACAGCGCGCACGTGCTAACCATTCGGCCACCCCCTCCCCCTTATCATTAAAGTTCTTAGTTTCTGGAGTACCAGCTACGTACTACAACTTTTTCGATTTTCTGGACTGTCTGAGTAGTGGCATTTCCGACCAGAGTAATCATTGAATTATTATGGATTTCAATCTAAACAGGCTTCAAACAACTCCCGTCAAATAAATCGAGATTTAAATATATGTTAACATAGATTGTCCCAAAATTTCATTTAATTGTGGAACATCTATACAATACGTGGATAGATGTGGATTTCATGTAATTGTGGAACATCTACAGCACGTGAAAAGATTTATAATATGAGATTTGCGAAAGTGGGAGTAACTAAATATAGTGTGTAGAATTATACTGCATTCCATTAAATATCAGATCGCATTTTACCAATAACTTTTACATAATAGATTATATAACGATTCACTGGAAAAATAAGTGATTACAGGCTCTCGCTTTGAAATACCGACTCCGAATCCCTCCGACAGGTATTCATTATTATCCAAGTTACCGTATCAACAATTTTGGATTTAGGCATAAGCTAAACAAGCAACAGCTATTGGCCTCTTGATCCACGAAGGCCTCGAACAACTTCAGATGTTATTATTGAGAAAAAGAGTGTGTGTATGTGTGAAGGGGTGGGGGTGTATGGCTTTGAAATGAAATGAAATGTGGTTTAACGTCCTACTGTTCTGCTCCTAACCTGGGCTAATGAAGACGGGCATACGCCATACAGTGTGCTATGAAGGAAATTTTGCCCGGGCAGCGGCGCTACGGCCTACTCTTATATCGAATTCCAACTGCCAAGGGATCTTTTACGTGCACGCCAATGTGTACACGGAACCTCGGTTTTTCGTCCCATCCGAACGACTAGACAGCTGTCCTTGTCAGGCCCACCATCCTGCATCACTGACAAGGGGAAACCACTCCGAAAAATCTGGGTGAAATTTCTCGGCCAATGCAGGGATCGAACACCCGACCTCCAGGCTAGCGAGCCAGCGTCTTACCCACTTAGCCACGTGATCCCCCGTATGGCTTTGAATGCTACGAAATAATTAAAAGGCGTATACAATACAGCTTTTTTGACATGAGTGATCTCAACTTTATATTTGAGCCTCACCAAGTGTGAAATTAGACATTGTTTATCAAGAAAAGTATCAATGTCGCCATTTCTTTCAAAACACAAATTGAAATGTATCTGGTGTTAAACTGCTAAAGTAAGTTTTCTTATAATAGGCTACATGTTTAAAATACAGCTATGCTATCAGATCGTCTCCTATTTTAATTAAATCATGGAACTAACAAGCACCACTTGTATAGAATTTTTAGATTGGAAATTATTAATAACAACGACTGCAGTGTAAACGTCTCCATAGAAATACATATTTCTAGAAAATGTAAGCTTGACATTGTCTTCACCTATAATTCACTTATAACATAGGCGAGTGATATGTATACTGGCCCCAATATGCCTTAAACTGTTCGTTATTTACTAGCTAAAAACTTTGGAAGTATATATGAATGATTGCATTTTCTCAATAAATTTTATTACGCAACAAATTTATCCTGAAACACGTTCATCTGTACAATTACAATACGGAACCAGGGGTTTCTTATAATTGTATTTTGAACAATTGGTACTAATTATAAAATTAAAGTATAAATATTTAATAATGTACTAACAAACGAACGATGCTTTAAAAGAAATTATATTAATGTCTTACCTGTATATCAATAAAGTTCACCAAAAACTTGATGATAAATAAAATCTAAATCTGTTTATAGTGAAGCGTATCCCGATAATATTTATGTACGTAAAGTTATTAACTATTTGTTCAATACGGCACCAACGTGACAGCGGCTTGTGCGCTTTTCACGCCAAACGATTTCCGCCAATTACACGTTCATCGACAAGCACACGAACAAATACGCCAGAAGGCGTGGCACTCGAGTGGCACGTGACTTCGCGATTCCGCCAGTATTCGCGTGCCATTCTCGTTTTATGTTCGTATGAGCGATATGAATGGAATGGAACGAGTATGTGATTGTGGAATTCGCCTGGAAGTAAAATGTATGTTTCAGTAGGGGCAATATAAACACGCTAAATGTATATAAACATATATACAATCTTTATAACAGATTACTACGTCGTATATTTGACTCACACCATTACTTGGTTTTTGTATGCCAATGGGTCAGGCGGTCACCAACTAAGGTTTGGTATGTATGGTCCATGGTTCGGTAATTAATTAGCGTTACCGCGTTATTAACTAATTCTTACCGACGAATCTTCATACTGATCCAAAGTATTAATTAATCGAGTGCGCCATTTCATCAATCGTCACAACAATTAAGGAGTTGTTTGTTACTTTGGCTGTATAAGCCAGGGTAAAAATATTTTAAAACCAGATGCTGGTTCCATGTATTCTGTAATCTTCTTGGGCTTCCTCTCGTGTGGCTAGACTCTTCAACAAAGAACAAAATTCCGCGAATTCGAGTGCCATTGACATGAAACTTGCCCTTTGGACAATTGCGCACCATTGACCGACTTCGATGTTTGATATGATGGCTGGGATGACGTCATGCTCGGATCGTTCTTGTTGAAAGATTCAAGATATAGTAGAATTAAAAGAGAGTTGGATAGAGAGAAAAGCCTGAGGGAATAGCCAGGGTCGGATTAAGACCCAAGAAGGTCCTAAACACTTAAAAGGGTTAGGTGCCCCCATATAATTATGTGTAATTCAAAATAGAAACTATAATAAAGCACAACCAACCGCCAAGCACGTGATTAGACTTTATCTGGGGTTTTATACACGTCATTGTTAATTGCGATAAAACTGATAACAGTAAGAAAAGACAAAAACAATGAAAAACAAATTGAAAGTTCTTCATTAATTTTCAAATTAAAGATACTTTCTCGCGTAGAAACTGTGTGATTTGCTGATATACTTGAACTAAAGACATATTCAAACTAACTAATCTATCAAAAATTTGCTTCAAATCCTCTCAAAACTCTGTATTTGTCAGTAGATACCACAAGCTATCAAAAAATGTAAGCTCGAGTCATTGAGGGAGGATCCATTTTCCAGAATGTATTTTTTGTTACTTACTTTATCATACAGTAAATTCTTAATTATTTTCTGTCAATTACCTTTTCTGCCGTTTAATTGCAGAGTCTTTTCTACGTTGACACCCCTCAATGTTCCCAAAACCACCTAACTATTTGATAAAAAAATAACTACCACTCCCTCTGTCAAGCTAGCACACAATAAGCTGGCAGACAACAATCGGGTTGCTAATTAGTGATACCCTGACATTTTTGCCTAGTGCTTGCCCCATGGGTGTTTTGTTTAGTAATCCAGTATTTGTCTAGTAAGATTGGGTGTCTATACGTTCCATGTATACGAAATATGCCATACTTTTATTTCAAATAACCACCCGATAATTACTTTCGGGACAATGTATCTTTAAAGATTTTAAATTTGGCATCTAACAAAGCAGACATTCTGTGGTGCCCCCATTACCATGATGCTCCAAGCACGTGCTTAATTGTTAATCCAGCGCTAAGAATAGTCAATATTGCCAATGACTGCATGGATTTCGTGATTACCACTGCCTTCGTCGGACAAAATATCACTGCCTTCACCGGACGATAAAAGTGCGTTGTTCTTTTATTTATTTCGATGTAATTTTCTGGAGACCGGTTTTCAAAATCACTTTCTATTTTGTGACAATGAATAATTTGCTCAATACACGTCTACCAGCTTTTCGTCGTTTGAGTTGTAATAAGATTCTGGGCTTCAGGCATTGTCCACCGTTTTGTTTTAAAAAATACACATGACTTCGAGTTTGGGGCATGTGCTATCAATTGGTGGAGGGTGAGCGGGTCGGGTGTGTCATATAAATAATAATCATTCAAAATTTGTATAAATTCAAGACCTCCACTCAATAGAATGAGTGCAATATCCTTTGGTCCACAATCCTTATTAAGTCAAGGGCAACAACTCTTGAACTTTTTGCATCAGAATAATCTATAGGGATTATCTTTCAAGAACTTAACTCTTCAAAGATTTGATCTGTAGAATGACTCCGGTAATGTAGGTTTACCAACAGTAACATAAGTCAATCGCAATAACCTTGTAACGACACACAAAATTAACAGAGACCAAAACAAAACTCTTGTTAGAAATTTGATCAAATCAGTCAATAATACTTACTGTTGACTTTGTAGACTCTTGTGACCACCCTATCAACATTTGCGATCATAGAAAGGAATAAGCCTAAGGAATTTCAAAAGTTTTAGTTAATTACATTAGTGAAACGAAGACACCTACTGAATTTCAGCTTGTTCACTTCGTTGAATCTTGACGATGTTTTGTCTATTTTATTTGTTTAAACCCTGTTTTAACTTGTCTTCTATGTTGAATTTTCATTTAGTACATAAAGAAGGGATGTCTAGACAATCTTAAGGATATTTGTTTCAGAATATTTCTTTTCTTTTCCTGAAGTATGAACATGGTTCTTATGAATGTTCTTGCATGGGGTCTAAATCGATTTGTAATAAATAATTATGACAATCGACAAAATAACATAATAAATCAAGATGTATTTAAACATGTCGGTCTAGCCACCATCAAAAGACTTACCCGGAATGTGTCGTTACTATATGAAGTATTTAAGCTGTCTTAGAGCATTAGCGTAAATATCAAACCCATCAGCCTTTTTTTAATAAACAAAATCCGCACAATGGATTGGATTACGGTTTTTTACATCGTTAACGGCTTTACCGTGTCAATTTTAAAAGACACACATTAGTATTTTCATTGACTGAACTTACGTTCAGTGCGAGGCGGGCCGTTTGCTCGTCAGTCATATATTATTATGCCTTTCAAAAAGTTGGAACCAAGCAAGACGAGTCCCTAAAGTTGCTGATGATATACTGGACCAGGGTTATGGAAAAGCCGTTACTTAAGCGACAACCAAGAATTTTTTAGACAACATAGCATTAGCACATATTTGCCAATGGGCTTGAAAGGAATGCTGCAAGATATGCAACGTGTGTAACGAGTACGAATCCAAACTACTTTCATCCGAAGCCTCGATTCATTATTTGGCATGATTTGTAGGTTTACAACACTTTGTTGTTTATCCCGATCTACAGAATAAACTTTATCATTTAAACGACAGATTATACAAAATTTACTAATTGTAATCGTACTTGCACTTTAGAAGACGCGGTACTGCTTCAAAACTATATCTGAACTGTGTGTATTCTTAACCTAATCTAATTAAATTTTTATTTTGTTTCGCTTTTCTGGTTGCGATTTAATATACATTCGGAACATTGTACCTTTCCGCGAATTATAAATCAAATGTCATCGAAACCACTTCAAAGCCTAATAAACATTTGAAAAAAAAAGTTTGAATTTAATCTTTGTTGGGATGCTTTCGTTTGAGTAAATAACACACCTGTCTTGTGTCTTTCGTCGGACTGAATTAAACGCTTGTCTTTTGTCGGATTGAATAACACGCATGCCTTGTGATTTTCGTCGGACTGAATAACACGCATGCCTTGTGATTTTCGTCGGACTGAATAACACGCATGCCTTGTGATTTTCGTCGGACTGAATAACACGCAGGCCCTTTCGTTAGGTTAAATGACACGCTTGTCCTGCGTCTTTCATTTGGTTGAATTACACGACTGTATTGTATCTTTCGTGGTTTGAATTACACTTTTGTCTTTCGTTGGGTTGAATTACAAGGTTCTTTAATTTGGTTGATTAACCCGTTTGCTGTGTTCTTGGTAGAATTTATAATCCTGTTGTTTTTCTTTCATATCCCATATCTTTCACAGGTATTGATCTGAAATATCTGTACCACGAAGAACAAATATTTTCTTCAGTTTCTTTTTAATAAGCCACTATTTCACGCTATTTATATTACTAAAGGCACATAGTCTGTGTCTGACTCCTCCAACTATATATTTATGTCTTAGTCATTTCCATACACTGTCTTATATTCTTTATTAAACAGATTCTCTTCATTTACATACAATATTAAATTATTATCATGTACTCGTAGATAGAATCATCGACACGTTTCAAGGGTTAAAGGAGCTCAACCTCTAACTCAATATTTTCCATAATATTCGAAATTTAAAAACACGAATTGTAATTCAATATTGAATCCATATTGATGTTGTTTTGTTGCCGTGAAACTATGGGGTCCTAATATCCAATATTTAAGACACCATGAACATTTTATAATAACTATATGAGTCGTGTATTCTATGGTTTCATGCACCATTTGTAATGAACAAAGACAAATATATCTTCCAGGCCAATATAATGTTTATTCACAAAATTATCATATATTTGCATCACGATGCATTCATATATACATTCATATACAGGGTCGGCCATAATTTTTTTTACCCATTCTGAGAAGGGGTGCATGGATTGGGCATGTCATTAATTATTATACCGTGTTCAGAAATAGTGATAAAATAGGAGACTCTTAGTATCCAATAAAAACTTCATGTTTCTGTGACATTTTTCTGTATTAGTTGAAAGTGTTAAAAGTGCGTATATATACGCGTTTTTTTTATATATATATATATATTTTTTTTTAAAAATGCTTCTCTCATCATTTAATCCGAATTCAATAAGAAAGGATTTGGGCAGTTCGTGCATTTCACTGAATATAATTGAAAATTGATTAGAAATTAAAATAATTTTTAAAAAATGAATGTATATCACTTTGATACATTCATATTACATTAATATGAGCATTAAGACTCATTTTCTTATACTTTAAAGGAGCTAAATCGCTAATATTTTGGACCTAGAAATTGGCACAAATGAGTCGCAACACATATA